GGGCCGGAGGGGGGGTGTCTGTTCAAGGCAAAGTCAGCGCCGACGGGTGCACGGCACGAGTGCCTCCAGCTCGCGGGCTTGCCGAGGGGGCCGGGGATCCCGTGTGGCGTGGCATGGCGGAGTCGTAGGGGCTCCTGCAGGCAGGAGCATCCCGTTTTCGTGGACAGAAGACTGTCGCAGCAGTGGCAACGGTGGTGTGTGCACACGGCTCGGACATTTGGCGTGGAGGCTGCACAGCCTGGGTCCAGCAGCACGTTCGCCCGGGAGGTGTGTACTGCTCGGCATCTGAGTGTCTGGCAGCAATAAGGCAGACAGGCCTGGTGGCCTTCGCTGCCCTTAGGCCTGCCCGGGCAAAGCATGTAGGAGGGCCACGCCGCCACCTCGCTGCACTGCTGTTGCCGCCACCGTCGCCGCCCCTAACACTATGAGAGTTGACGTTTTGCCAGAAAATCAAAGTCAGAACAGTCACCTAGGTGCTCTCAGAAAAGATTTTCTTCGAATATTGACAATAGATCACTCTGGAAATTCATGTCAATGGTAGCTGCCATCTGCGGGAGAGGAGGGAGGCAGCAAGTGAGACCCAGGGCTCTGTTCTCCCAGCAGCTCTACAAGAAGCCACTGTCTGCCTCCCCATGGCAGGGCTGGGGCTGCCTGCCGCCTTCTCTCTGGGTAGGCTCCCACCCAGCACCCCACTCACCGCTTCCCGGCGCCTCCGCTCCTGCTCCCGCTTCCGGGCCAGCTCCCGCTGCTGGTCCAGCATGGACTGGGGCTGGGAGCTCTGGGCCTGGGGGGCAGCAGCGGTCACAGCGGCAGCTTGCTGCTGCTGCTGCTGCTGCTCCTGGCGCTGCTGCTGCTGCTGCTCCTGGCGCCGGCGCGCCTCCTCGTGGGCACGCCGAGCCTGCTCCAGCACATCCTCATCTTCACGGCTCCTGGAGAGGAAGCAGGGCAGCTCAGCCGTCCGTCTGGCGGCACCCTTGCCCTGGTGCGCTCCGTCCTTGTGTCCCACTCTCACCTCATGCGCTCTTGCCGCAGCCGCTCCTTCTCCTTCTCGGCGTGCTCTGCCTGCGCCTTCAGTGCCTTCTCCCGCTCCTCCTTCTCCCTCGCTGCTCGACGGAACTGCTCAAAGCTGTCGCTCGACGACTTAGCAGTAGAGGACGGGGTGGTCGGATGCTTCTGCACCAGGCTGGCCCAGGAGCCCATATTCTTAATTTTCAGGTCCTGCAGTGGGCAGAGGGGACTGGGGTCACTGTAGCTGGATGGCCTGAGAGCCAAACTGTACCCACTAGGGGGAGGTCCAGGATCCAGGGCATTTATGATCCCTCAGGCATACCTTCTTAGGAGCAACTGGCGTCTTGGGCTCCTGTTTTGGCTTGTCCTTGTCTGAGGCCCCAGGCGGAGGAGGATTCTGCTCAGGGGGCCGAACTACAGGCCGCCCAGGGTCCACGGGCTTCAGCTCCGGCCCTGGAACACAGGGAGTCAGTCTGTGGGCAGCAGGGCCTTGTGGGGGGACAAGGCAGGCGGGTGGCCAGGGAGGGGTAGGCACTCACGCTGGGGCAGGTGGCCAGGTGCCTTGATGCTGTCTGGGTGCTTGAGGGGCTCCGCCCGTAGTGCAGGGCTGAAAGGCTCGCTGCGGACGATGGGCGAGTGCAGTTTTTCCTCCTTCACCACCACCAGGGGCTGGGACTGGACCACAGAGGCAGCACGTAACTCCTGGGGGACATGGGCTGGCAGTGAGGCGGACGGGCGAGCGGCCTGTGAACTCTGGACACAGTAGCCCCTCCCTGCCTGTTACCTGCTTCTTCGGCTGGACGTTCTGCTGGGGCGGGGACTGGTGCGTCAGGCTCTGGAACGGTGGCATCTGGGGGGAATGTATCATAAGCGGGGACGGGGCTTCTCGGAGGTGACCTAGGAGAGGGTACATGAAGCGAGTCAGCACAGCGGGTCAGGACTGGAGAGGGGCCGGGGGGCAGGCAGGTAGCCCCGGAGAGACAAGTTGCCCCCACTGAGAGGTACACAGCACTGTTCAGAAGGCTAGCTTCCCTGTGTGTGCTTAAAAAGCCCTCGGGTGTTTCAGTGGAAAGTCAAATACCAGTGGTGCCGTGAAATCCACCAGGAGTGTAGAGGCCACTGTCCAGATGGCCTTGACCTTTGTCCTGCTTCCTGACCTGCCACCTGGGCTGTGCAATGAGTCCTGGTGAGCTCGAGGCATTCTGGGAAATGGCTCCGCAGGCTAGGCCCTCTACATCCACAGAACATAACAAAATTTTGGCCTGTCACCTCAGCACCCTGGCCAGGTGCCTCATCCCATCCTCAACCTAGACAAGTGGCCCTTGGCAGCCTATCACCTATGGTTCCGGTCCTGCCACCACTGTGAGCTGTCAAATCTTGCCTCTATGGTGACCCCGTGGTGACTGTACCCAGAACTTGATCCCTAGTTGGTGTTCCCGAAGTCCACCATAGACCAAGCATGGGGTCAGAGCCTGGGTACCACATTCTCTGCCCGGCCAAGGTCACTCTGCAAATATCACCCAGAAAGTGAGGCCAGCGGTTCAACAGGGGCCCCACCAGCCCAGGCCCCTGGGTGTGGCACCCTGTAGGCCAGGCTGGGTCCCCATCCCCAGTCATGACCCATGCCAAGCCCATGGGCTCTGAGCAAGGCTAGGCCAGGCATGCACCCAATGCTATCAATTCGTAAGGACTCTGTCCCATCCACAGGCCCTGGGACCCCTGGCCTTACTCGAGGTCAGAGTGGGGCAGCAGCACATTAGGGAGAACCCACCCTCGAGTGCCCTGAGCTTTGGCCCCGAGTGCTCTCACTGTGTCCAGAGCTGTCAAGAACGGTCCCTGGGGCTGATAGGTATGCAGGGTGCATTGCCCGTTCCACAGCCTAGCCCCTCCCTGCCCATCACATGACGAGGCCACCGTGGGAGGCTCCAGTACAGCAGCTTAAATGATAAGCCTTCAGAGAGCAAAAGCGCTAGGGTCTTAGTGACACCTTGGGTAGGTACCAGTCCAGCTGGGCCTGAACTTCAGGTCCCATTCTCCTGAAGACTAAAGGCAGGGCCTGCCACTCCTAAACAACGCCACCCCTGCCAGCCTGCTTGCTCGGGGGACGTGCTTCTCGTGAGCTCCTCCTGGAACCCTTTCCTGACACTCCATGGCCATGCTCACCCTCATCCAACCGAGGCCCAGCTGTGGCTTCAAAGCTGAGCAGATGCAGGCCAGGCACTCAAGAGCCTCCAGCTAGAAGTCCTAGCTTCTTGGGGTTCCCACCACCCGTTCTAAGGTGGGGGCCACTTACCTGTAGAGTAGGGGTCCGACTTGTGGTGCCGGGGTGAGGGGTGGTGCTGGATGACTTGCTGTGGCTTGGCGGGAGGTGGTGGGGGTGGCTGCTGGCCTGGGGCTGGGTGGGGGGGCTGCTGGCTAGGTGGTGGGGGTGGCTGCTGGATGTGAGCGGGGAATTGTAGATGCACGGGCCGCGGGGGCGGTGGGTGCTGCGGCGGCTGAGGGGGTGGCTGAGGCTGGGGCGGCTGGGACTGGGGTGGTGGTGGGGGCTGAAGCTGCTGCTGCACCACTGGGTGGGGCGGGGGTGGTAGAGAGGGTGGGGGCTGGGACTGCACCTTCACGGAAGGGAGTAGCGGGGTGGGCGGCTGCACTTTCTGCAGCTGCTGCAGGTAGAGCTGCATCTGCATGGAGGTGAGGGGTGGGGCGGGAGGCTCTTCCTCCTCCAGCAGCACCTGCGGGGGCTGGGTCATAGGTGGCTGAGGGAGTAAGGTTGGCTGGGCCAGGGTGGGTGCCACAGCTGGGGGCCGGGCCGACTTGGGGGGCAGGGCGGCTGCGCGGTTGCTGGGCCGAGAGGGCTGCTGGGGCAGCGCGTTGTGCAAAGCTGAAAGGAGAGAGATGGGTGGTGGCTTCTAAGTCGAAAGCCTTCCCTCTTCCGCCCCCTCACCAGCCCCCTTCCACCCCCACCCCGAATTCTCCCTTCTCAGGAGCCCGAGGAGGAAAGGCCATTCCCCGCTGAGTACTCAGCCTGGTGTGATCACCCTGCCAGGGGCCTGGAGGCCCACGTGCACCAAGGGTTACCCTTAGCACCGGGCAGGCAGGCAGGCAGGCAGCCTCCCCCTCGTGCCCAGCGACCCCACCCTAGAGCCAAGAATCCGCTCCTGGGCTCACCTGGTGGGGAGACCACGGCGTGCTGGTTGAGGTGTGGTGGAGTGTTGTGCTCGGG